GTGTACTTTTGGGAATATAAGATAAAAATGCTAGTTAATAAGTTGACATTATACAGGAAAAAGATTTAGTTCACGTTAAAGGGTTTTAATCCTATATAGAATACATTAATTAGGCCTGTCTTAAACTTGATGATTCGAGGGCAGAGTCTACGTGAATACGAAATAAAGTCGTACCTATTTGAATTGGAATAATACTAATCGCTTTAATAACCAATAGGATAGAGCGGACGCCGAACTCATGAGCGTAAATCCCGCTACGTCCTCAGTCGCAGAAGTTTGATGAACTTTTTCAGCCAAGTTCCTAATTTTCGTTAGACTAGCTTGAATAGTACTTTGCTTCCCACCTCTAGAGTGTTTAGAATTGGTCCGATCTCACCCTAGACAGTCAACTTATCACAGTTACCTTTGACTTTTTGACATCGCGGAACGAATCGTCCAATATTACGTAACCTAGGTCTTTTGCAGTGCATCACGTATCATTCATTCCATCTGCCTAACTAGAGGGTCGTTGCTACGTTCGAATGTGCAGCTGAGCCTGCAAAGATTCGTTGTGAGATTTCTAGAACTCTCATTAGAGAATAGCAGCACATCAACTTCAGGTAGATATCGTCTCTTTTCTTTTGGCCAGCAATTTTGGGCTTTTCCTGAGTCAGTCGGCTTGCTCGGAGCCGCGATTCAAAGATTAGCTCATATGAAAGGCAAATAGATAAACGTAAACCCAAGACCAGAACCATAGGGGACATCGTAACAGTATATACCCCCTTCATAATACCTAATTAGCTGACTTCTCCGCCTGATTGTTAAATAAATCCCTGTGAAACTGCAAATAGGCGTTAATATAATATTTGAGCTTCAATTCCATCAAATTCGATTGAATATTTAAAACTCTTCTGCCTCGTTAAATATCCACCGTCCACAGATGGTCCACCAATTGATGGAAAATCCGACTGCATAAACTGTTTTGCTTTTAATGTTTTAGCGAACCACGCACGTCACAGTGGTAATGCACAGTCCGCACATGTAGCCATAGTGTTTATAAGCGTGCATAGGGGTACATACTTTTTGACACTTTCGCAAGAACCGATAGCGTCTCTGCTTGAAGTGAACTGGGACTATCGAATAGCAGAGGATCAGGTCGTTGAGTATTCCATTTAGTGAAGGGGGTGTTAACCTACTGTCGCGGAACGGTTTTGTTATTGCGTCCTAGCCTGCCCCGCTTCCTCTGCACGCGCTTGCGATCGCCTATCTGGTTGCATAGCACTTAAAATCGTGCCAATAAGCGACGAGGCTTTGTGACTATTAAGCTACGACCCGTCGATGACTAATACGCAGGATCAATTTTAACAATGCAGGACCCCGATATTTCCGTCCTGAGCGAACTATGCACAGGGTGTTTACATGTTAAAACATGCTGTCATCAAAACATACGCGAATATAACATACTTCGTACACATATATATATGAGGGCGTACAAAGCTATCATTGTCTCTGGACGTTCTGACAAGTTCAACTCCAACAATGTTCCACCTGTGAGTGAACGGCATCGTATCTTAATAGAATTATTTTCTCTAGGTAGGCATATTTGGGTCTCTGCTAATGGTAGACGGAAAGAGTAGTTCAAGGAAAACTCACCACCATCGCATCGTAAACGATAGCGCCTAGCTATTTACCTTACAGTTGCTGCTCATATAGGATACATATGACGCTTCTGAAAAAAATTTGCCCACGCATTTGAACTACTTATACTCATTAATGATGGGATATATTGCAGCGTTTTGCTCTTGTTCATTGCTTGATAACTTCTTTTTGCCGTAGCCTTTATTTACATGTCTAGGTGCAAGACATTTACATCGACGCACGATGGATATTACTGGAATATATAATTATACATGAAACTCTATCTTGATGCTAGCATCAAGCCGCAAAATCTTAGAGTTAGCTCTTGTCTGTAATATGTGTGCTAGACGTTTTTTATATTGGAAAAATAAGCCGTTACAAAAAATCCATCATTAAATTTAATAGCAAATAGATTCCTAAACCTTATTGGAATCATCGAAACGAGATCAACAGAGGCTATCTGTCGGAAGAGTTTTTTTTCCCGCTACAGGTATAAGGTGAACGCGTAGACAACGGTTTTTTATTGTTAGAACCTTCTACGAAGCTCCTCAGGTTCCTGTATTGATGGAATAGAGGAGTTTTTGCCGTCCGTCCCTATTTCGTTTGAAAATGTAGTCGTTGTGAGGAAAAAAGGCGCGCCGAATATCGATGTTGGGGTAACTTTATTTCAGTACGAACGTCAATACAAATTTACAGATTATTACTCAATTTCAAGTAATCCAAATTAGCTTTTTGAAATCCTTAGCTCAAGTAAGTTGTCAATAATAGAATAGTTAAAGTGACAATTGTATTTTGACGTTGCAATGATGATGAAAAATCGAAAATGAGAGATGCACAAATGCCGAAACGCGAGGTTTTCGGATGAGAGGAACCTGCCAACAGCCCCCGTGATAGCTCAGCGGGTAACATATTTGCCTGCTGACCTTAGAAACATGTTGTGGTCGAGGCTCGAATTTGAGTATCGACATATTTCGTTTCAGTCACGGCTGGGAGTCAGCTGTCTGCTAGACTGAAACGGCGACGCCGGACGCAAACCTTGAAATGTAGAAAGTAACCTACCAAGAAAGGTTCATTAGGTAACGACGTGCGTACAAGTGCCAACTCTACTGTTGGAAACAAATCCTATACGTTGTTTTGCTGGTTAATATAAGAAGACCATTGGCCCCGATTTGCACAGTGTCATAACATATCAAATAGTAGCCCTGTCGAGTTAAACCATTGTCCTGAATGTGGTCATTTCAAGAGCCCACGCCAAGATCCTTGATGTTTTTATGTTCCACATGCACAGATTCGCCTGCGTCAAGCTATATCGTGTACCTTACACACGACATTTGTCCTGAAGGCTACGGTTTAAAAACTGCATAAAAGGCACAAAAATATTTATTCGATCCTCAGTGCAACAGATTTTACCCTAGAACGAAGAGAAATTTGTGTCACAGAATAGGGATGCTCACAATTCGTTCCTATAATATGTTGCCGTGACACCAAAGTCGAATCGTGTTTTAATGGAGAAAAGGAACATGTCTATAAACAATGTATAGGAACATTTCGAATAGCGCCATACGAATGTACCCATGTGTTTCTAGATTAACGAAACGGTCAATATACTTGCCTCTAAGTGAAATTATAAATAGCTCGTTTTGCTCGGAACGGAAAACCGAAACAATAGCGTCGCTATTGTAGATTTTTGCCAACAGAAAAACAGCTCAGATGCGCATTTTTTTTAGCCTAACTTTTTTTTATCCTGCAAGACCCGTTCGACCACGATATTCGTGTGACGGTTGTGGCGCTCTCCTAATGGCCATATGCTGAACCTTTGCTAAAAAGTGAATCGCTGGATTTTATGGTGAAACAACCTATTCCTTACTAGATGGGATTTTTTTTCAGCTAATCGTGTTAATTTAAGATTAGATATTTTACGCTGCGTTAGTAAGTATCCATCAATTCTTCATGAACGGCGATACAGGTTCGCTTCTTCTTATCTAATGTCCAAACAAAAAGTTCATGCCGACAAAGTGTTTGCCTACAGAAACGCCTACGTAAGTGGTCTATGTCCTTTACCAAAAATTGTATTTTGATAGTGAAAAGTATACAGAGCGAGACTTTTGGAAGCTGCGTGCCTACATGGCCGAGTGTGCGCACTTCACGGCTTTCAAAACAGTCATATCCCAAGAGATTTTCGAACTGGAAATTGTGGTGCACTTCAAGCACCTAAGCAAGGAAACGTCTAAAAGATTTAAAAGCGAGCACAGACGCAACCTGTTTCGTACCGCTACCTCATTTCCACATCCCCACACAAACTTCCTGACTGTAATACTGGACACGAAACTTAAAAGGCTTATTTGTATTGTAAATAGTAAAAGAATGATTTAATCATACTAAAGTAAACCGTGCTACCGCGGCAGAACTCAACTCATATGTTACTTCCTATATATATATATATATATATATATATATATATATATATATCATTTAAGACTTGTTTCGCTACTATGTGCATTATATCATAGCTATGTTCCATTGACTGCGAGGCAAAAACAAGAGAAAGTCGATTGCAGAGACCGTTACATGGGACGTCGCAAGTTATATTCACTGACAGCCTCAGAATTCCACTTAAGCGGTGGGTTACAGTGTACTTTAGTAGCGAACTCGTACCTCTATCGCAATCAAATTTCAAGATGTGGTGAACCCTTTCAGATATCTCACCCATTTTCGAGGCGCTCTACCTTGAATCTAAACGAAAACAACAACGTCTATACACCTGCTATTCGTCGGATTGCAGCCTTCAAGCGACACTAGCGCCGATCCAGCGCGCCTCGTGCTACCTGGGACATGCAGCTCTTAATACATCATCTATTTTACGGTCGATACTTTTTTAAAATTCAATATTTTTTGTGATGTTCGACACCTGTCAACGTGGATTTTCCCGCAATGGATAACACGGCCTTGGAAGTATACGTATGTGCGAAATCACACAAATTACACAAGCTACTGATGGCTTTAGCTAATATAGAAGCAATATGTATTTTTGTCACGTTGGCGTCTTGCCTTAATCACCATGGCTAGCTACCACGACCTTTTTGGCACTGGCTCATCATTGGGTCCTTATGCGGGTGCCTTTTTTCCTTTGAGCAACATTGGGAACTTTTATTTAAGCCTGGATCTTCGTAAACAGTGCTACGGACAATAGTGGAAAGTACTAATTAGACTTGGCCAACAATCATTTATCCACATGCTAGTTACTTGTTTTAACGAGATTAGCTTCTCGAGGTAGAAAAAAAATGGACGACTCCAGCTCTCCCTGACGACGTCTCTTATGGAAAACTAAGGAAGTACTTCATAATCAAACAATAGTTCCGTTTCCTAAACACAACAATTCACTCTCCACCGAGCTAGCATTTATTTTCTCGACAAACTTCAGGTTACAAATTGGGCTGTACAGTTATTGCGTTGTTTGTCGTAGCCGTTTATAGAGTAACATGCACATAAACCCTGTCGACCATTGATAAACTTCGCATTGAGGGCTTTACTATTCCTTGATTTCCAACTACACGCCTGTACATCCCGTCCATTTGGCAGCTTACATTGAATCAATATGTATTTTTATTTGTTTTAGATATGTATGTATAATCACGCGTTCTGCCATTTTGCCTGGCGGCACAAAAATCGAACAGCTTTATCTAACTCTTTCGATAGGAACAATATTGATGGGGAACGTTCTATCTCGGTAACGTGGGTGACGAGATCTGCGATCCTATCCGCGATCGATGAAAAGCAAAAGCAGCGATAACATGGAGCTGATAAATGTCGGCTTAATCTTTAAGGCCGACGTCGTTATCATCAAATAGCATGCTGTAATACGTCCACAAAAAAATGAGACAAAATGTTGTTATAATAAAACAGATAGATTTTTGAGCTAAAAGAAAAACTGCCATAGCACGGCCCAAGCCGTAATATTGAAAACTACTATAGATATTTGCTGGATGACGGTAGTATTCGTACATACTTTTTTTCTTTACTTCATATTTATACTTTTACAATTTTCGTTGAATAGCATCCTGTTCTTCAAAAAGTCACTTCAGCGTGGACGGTATCAAGGTGATTCCTTGTACAGCCAGCCATAATAGACAAAAAATATGTTTTTTTTTTCCGAACATTTTTCTCATTCATTTCAAACAAACAACATCTTTTTCAGCGGGTTTAGTTTGAAACGCCGGATAGGACCCGTTTGAAAATAGATCAATAGGCCAATATGAATAGGGATCGATATACAAATTACAGGCCGTTAGTGACAAACGACAATTCAGCCACAAAATTCAACTCTGAACTTGAGTACTATGCAGCTTACTCATAACATAATTTTGCCTTATTAACTATGATGGCGTGAGTGCAATTTTAGATGGGGATTTGAATATATCTCACCTTCACAGATCTTGTTTTTGGACACGATACATTGGATCGATTTTTCACGGATCCTTCTCTTTATGGAAGCGTTCACCTGGCATGTGATGTTTCCATCAGTGTTAGCTATGAAAAAACAATGTAATTAAATGATGTAGGACTGATCGTAGGTAAATCAAGGTAGTCTCAAGAGATACCGAATTATCTTACGTTTACGTTATCTATAAACGTACTTTGATTATTCCGCGTTGATGAATCCAAGCTGATAAAATTCTGATTTTGCTCATTTACGATATTGAAAGAACCAGGGGTAACCAATTCAAGCTTTCTTACTGGCATGGTTGTATCATAATACGTGTGATCAAATGCGAGCTGCCTGAGACTTCCTGTCCTAAAATAGATCAACTGAAATCAACGGCCTTTCGTCAAGCATTCAGGCTTAGCTGAAGCAATTACGAACTATATATATCTATATATATTGCTTCGAATTTTCCGTCCGATATCACCATTAAGGATCCCAGCACGAAATGCCCCTGTTCGAATCTAGATTACGACCCGTACCTACGATTATTAGCAGGCCAGTAATTATCACCCAACACTCATTCCATGACTCAGCTAAAGTAAACTAAACTTAAAACATAACAACTTTCTACAACAAACCGCGAACTGACACCAAGTAAATGGGCAAAGATTCTATGTACATCTAACAAAATGTCAATTTCGCATATCACGGAAGTTCCATCAAAAAGAAACAACAGAGTATAATTCGCCCGTGGCAATAGGTATAATAAACAGAATTATCTTACAACACGTCGCGTCGTAATGGAAGTCGTCACACGGCCGATCCACACACGTAACGTTCGCTATCAGATCGCCGTCAATGTGGCAGAGATCATCCGCGTTCGCAATAAACGTTTGTGACGTCCAATCAAAGTTGCAGCTGTATCTTTTTGCATAGTCTAAATGAAGCTGGCAATCTAAAGAACACAGCCTATTAAATTTATCTGTACATTTAACTAAAATTGATAATTTCATTCCTATTCGTGCAGGCTACTCGGAACACTTTGGAAGAGGGAAGATGGGACTTTTCGAACTGGATTTGATGTTTATGTCAACTCCCAGAACTAATTCCCATGTACAAAACAGGTAGCACTAATACTACTGTAGCATATTAATAGATTAAAATTCGACTCAACAGACGTCTCGTAATCACACTCTCATATATGATTCACAAACTACGAGAGCTTCAAAAGGCCTTTGAAAGCCCTTCAAAAAGGCTTTGTAATATAAAGACGCAAAAAGAATTGATCGAAAAACGAAGAGGACAACTGTCGCAGTAGCAAGGACAAGCACGCATATCGTAAGGCTGTGTCACGTTTGTAACACAAATATTTCGTATGAAAGGTGTTTGCTATATAAGTAGATAGAGCGGTAGGCCATGCTTCTCGTGTACCTTACACAGCCTTTGTATTGTCTACTACATAATTCACCAACGATTTCCGCTAGAGATCTGTAGATACTGTATATGCTCATTCATAGCTGTGTAGAACTAGCATTTTTCAGTCCGTAGGAAAGCCTTGCCAGTTGCTACGCTGGGGCTATTCTCAATACATATTATTATCGTCGTTACAATCATTAAATGCTACCAAATTTGTGCTCCGCAGCAGATAGACTTGATAGAACCGGATACCTAGAAAAGGACCTGCTGTAGGAAGCATAAAATCGGTCAGTATTTGTCAACGGCCTACAAACTTTGTAAAATAACTGCGCTGCTTTTGAAAATTGCCCCGTAGATCTTGCATTTTTAGCAGCCTCTAAGCTTCCTAATAGAAAAAGACACAAGGCGTCTGTCGAAGATACTATCGAATACTCTAGAAGCAAAAATATGTTATTTGCTGAGTAAAAAAAAATGTGGCTCCATAATCCTAGCTAATAATATCGTGTAATTAATTTACGAGCCTATTACAATGGGATTTAGTAGTTCCCAGAGGTTTGAATAGTTCTAAAACAGAAAAATCGGGCCACAACCTTCACAAAACTTATCGTCGATCTTCTTCGGTGTACAGATCGCCGTCACAGACTTGATCAGGTCAGGTCTGTCCGTCACTGTGCATTTGGGCGGGTCGTGTCCTCCTGAAATTCATAGCAGAATGCATTTAATGTTCATATGTGCGTCTGTAATCATAATTTGCAAGATGGTGACTCGAATAAACCAACTTTATTCGAACGTTACCGCACGATAATTTTTTTAAATTGTTCCGTGCGTATCGTTGCACAAGTCCGCAATAGACGATCCGCAGAGAGCTGTTATAACGTCGAACTACGTGTACTGTAAAAGTAATCGTTTTGGGGCGTCCTGCCTAAGGTACCATGGGGTACTTTGCCTTCCTTGGCTCGGAAGATCACCTCGATCATATCGTATAACAATGAGTAAACAGATTGATACGAAAATGTAAACATTTAATGGCCGTGTACCGATAAATAAGTATTTAGCAATCTAAATGAGCACCACACTCGCCAGAACGATGTGATGCGTTTCTTTCAAGTTGCTAGTTGAATCGAAATCATCTGTAGGTCAAGTCTAGAAATTTTACCACATTCAAGTGTGTCTGGTCCCCCGTGGAATTTCGTATCCTTGCCGATTTGACAACCCGTCTTCTTTTCCAGAAGACATTCTGTTGAACTGTAGCCACCTCGACATTTGCCATTTCGAATTTCTTTCTCTTGGAGATTTAACGTCAAGTTACACTCTGCAAGATAAACACGTTACACTTATTCAGTAGAAGGCGTAGGCCAATAAAACAACGATTGCTTGCGGAATAGACCTTTAGCCGGATATCAGTCCTCAGGGACCTCAGCCCTGCGTGACAGAAGATCGAGCAACTTATTAGAGCTAACGATTATTCTATAGAAATTAACAATAATCTGAGAATGATTAGACCATAACTCTCGTCGTATCAGTAATAAATAGACAAGCCTATGGTCTAGCTGTGGTGTTTGGCTGTTACTCGTATGCACCTCAATCGATTTTTGTTTCCTCACGGCTATGAAATTAAATAAACAATAGGTCACTTTGTTGACATTTTGCCAATTTTGACAATTGGCAGATTCAAATCAGCGACGTCTCAGGCCGGTTGAGCTAGCACAACACAATAGGTCTTATTTAGTGAGGGTTAATCTAATGATGTGTGGTAAAAATTTACCTGCGGTTTCTATTGATCTGCTATAAAACAAACGAAAAGTTGCTCTTACTTGCTAGAACGATGGAACAAGCACCCTCAGGTAAAAAAAAAATGCTACATTATCGCTAAGGAACGTTCCTGTCTCAGACAGTGATACAATCGTGGCTAACCTAGTGATAAATTAGAGACAGGTAAGACTCCTCATTTTGCAACCGATCTATTGACGTACCTATTCATGTAATAATATATTAGCCAAAAAAATTATTTGCTATAGATGTGCATCGATAATACGTACTGCATGCAACTGTGTCCTCACAACTCAGTTTCACAGATTCGATAGGCACGTTATCCGTCCATACGAAGTTGTACGTGCTATTGTCATAGACTAGAAACGAGCAGAAACGTTTTATCATGTATTCTTTATAATATGCTACATTTTTCTATGGTCCTTCGCTCGTATTCGTTGACCTAGGGATTGGAGTACTCCAATATCGATGGTCCCCTCAATGAAAGTGTTTTCTGTTGTTGTTTAGAAACAGGAACCGACCCTATGTAACTATGATGTGGGGTTGAAGGGTACGTTTGATGCCAACTTGTTCTTATGTGTACAGCGTTTCAAATATGCCCCATTAATAACATCTCGTACCTCTCTTGCAAAATGAATCGTTATAATCGATACGATAAACGAATACATAAAAAGAGTTTTTTTAGTGGTACGGCGATCGATGAAGTCGTACATTAACGTAAAAGATCAAAAATATAAGCGTAACATGTGGAATACTAACTAATTTCTGGCCTTAATCCTCCACACTGAACACATTCCATGTTATGACTTATATTTTTGCATTCTGGCCAGTTATTATCAGCTATACATAGCGTTGTACTATCAGCATCGACTAATGGGGAACAGCCATCTTCTACGGCTGAAGTAGCATAACGTAGTAAGAAAACGAAGCTCATTAGAAGATGATGCATTGTGGAAGAAGAGTGCAGGCCTGGGCAACTCGTATGCTTGCGCTAATAAGGCCTCGCATAAATGGTTAATTCCGTCATCACAAAGTAGACACTCAATGCTTTGTAACAAATGGTGACGCTGGTAAACAACTTCACATCGAGAAAGGTCGCTGTTAGGCGCGATACGAAATAGGCCAAGTCTGCCTCTGGGCACTTGACGAACACAACAGTTCCTTACACACAGAGCCAATCGCTTATACGTAACGAGTGGCATACTGCGGACCTGCGTTCGGTATTTATGCCAATCACCCTAATGACGTCGATCTCGACCATAAAACTTGATTCTATTATCTGTATTTTCTCTGGACTATTACATAGTACTGAAACGTGTACCTTTGCGTGCCTAGCCCACTAAATTTATCTTATCTAAGTTGTTTATGCTTACTCCTGAGTTGATACACTTCACGCTGAAAATTAATAACAGCATATCATAAGGACGTCACTAACACATTAACAAGCCGTTATACCCTTTTCGTGTTCAAAGTTTGCGAAAATTTGCTCTCAGAAGAATTTTCTTATTCTGGAACGAGTGGCCAAATTTTATCCCTATCAAAAGATCGATTTAGTCACCATATTTGTGCTAACTTACAATAGATGAATCGTTAATTGCTGTACAAAGCTTACTTGCATGGAAATTTAAGTTGATATTGAATGGCTGAAAAGTATTTACGGGCTTCAAATTGAAATTAGATCATGCATTTTTTTATATTTCAAAGTGACTATGCGCCAATTTGGGTCGATCACCTTTTGCATAACCCCATCACTTTAATATTTCTATGGTTTCCGGGCAAAAAATTGTGACAAGTAATTCTTTCACTAAAATAAAATTTTTACCATTAAGAGAGTCTTGCAAACGCCGAAATCAATTATAGTCTGATAGTGCATTTTCACTGGGCTTCTATTAATAGCCTGACCATACCCTTTCCGCTTTGTTTGGTTCACCCAGCAGATATGGGTCTATGTGGGCAGGATGGGTGGCGTTTCGAATTCGGGTACGCCTAACAGTAAGTTTCAGATGTTGATCGTTTTTAGTTATGATTCAAATAGAAAATTATCTATTATATCACATTACGAGTCTTAGCAATTGAATCACAATCGTTTGCGATGGCGGAAACCAGCAGATGATTCGAACTATTTCAGAAAGTCTATGAACTGTCGTCTACGGCTGTGCCTTCTTTCCAACCTGGGCACACGAACCCTATTATAATTTTTTAATTCTATTGTCAACAGCTATTTAGGTGTGATGAATAGAAACGGATATTAAACTATCTTGAAAAACAGAGACTCTGGCCGTTCGGGCAAAAGCTCAGGTCAGCTATAATTAATATAGGTTTCTCAGATATAGTGTCTTAATGACGGTTCCGAACAGCGAAACAGATCTCGCGGTTGAACAACCATGACTTTGTAACCAGAATTTCAACTGTTATTAAAAGATGCTGTTTGTATATATGCGATAGGAGAATATAGCTCTAATATTGAACGTTTTTGTTTGCTGCTTACCTGAGATGTACATTAAGGACGTTGTATTACCTTACGCTAGTGATTCAGTACAGAAAATTTCAGAGGAGCAGATTGCGTTTGTAATGACGACTTCTTCCTCACAGCCAAGGACAGTTACTATTTTAGATTTGGATTAAGACACTTTCGGCAATATATTTTTTACACGCGTACTAAAGCAGTGAAGTATATAATGAGTGCATTTTACGATAATCAGAACGCTGTCCGCCGTCCTTATCAAATCATTTAATAAGGTAATTGCGATTTTGCCTGTTGGGGACATTCAATGCTGTTTTTCCACGAACATCAGGCACACATGGTACAAACACAGTTCTCTTTTGCTTCAGCTTTTAGCACATCGACGCCAACTGAAATTACCTTCAAAATCCCTCACGCAGATTTCACAAGTTGTTAACATTTCTGTCAAACTGAACTAGCAGAAGTTGGCTGTGTGTTAACATCTCTACTTGTAAGTCCAGACTATACAAATTTTTGATCGTTTCTCCTCGACAAATGGACTGCTAGAAGACCAGGGGCTTAGTCGTAGCGTGTCAAAACATAAGATATCATCGGTCTTTTGGCCCTAAACTGTAATCTGCGAAAACGTTTAGCTTCACGTCTCGTATTGTATTATGGAACGAACGACACAAAGGGCGCACTTGGTAATTGTTCCGCGTATTTTTTACCAATTGAACGTGACGTTGACTTGTATTTCACTTTTGATGTCCCGCTTCCAGCGATACCTAGAGGTCAAGGCTGGACGCAAAACTGCAGCCTGTTATCAAAATACAGTAAAAGTGATTTTTTCTTTATTTCTGTGGACAGTACTTAACGTCGAGTTAAATCATTTGTACTTCTGGGTTCCGGAATTGCGCCTGCATCATCCTGCTATATATTGTGGAAACCGCTTACGTTGACTGATGGTTTTTTTTTACAATCCGTCAAGTTTTATTTGTTCATCTTTGCTGGTAGTAGTAAAAAAAGACTATATAAAAGAAAACTTCGTACATACAGATCAACAACATAATAGTCCAGTATCAAAGACGGTGTATGAAACCACGTAGAACAGTCTGCGTCATATGAGTTATACGAGTCTTGTTGAGTTTATAACACTAATTTGAGAGACCCTCCTGATGCCCTAAAGATGGTACGAGGGGCAACGGGCGGCACGATATCTAGTACAATGACCCTCACATTTCTAGAGCACCTATGCGCATGGCTTGTGGAAACCTAATTTCCTGCAGAGCCTTGGGTGAAATTCATGCACGGCACGTCTGTTTATCCGGTTCATCCGTTTCCACTCGCTGCTTTCCATCGCACCCGGAGCAAAGGAATCCCCGTGAATCTCCACGAATTTTTGCCCCCAGTTCCTAAAGTTTGTCTTAAAGGCTGTTGAAAGCTAAAAGCAGTGGTGAATCAGCTAAGAGGCACATCATATAGCTTAATTTTATCTAAGCAGCCCGAGTAGCCTTGCACGATTCCAATTTACTTTGCTTCTAGCGCCGCAATAACTTACTTTAGATCCCGCTGTTTTCGTCCTTTTGACAGCTCCTATTGTCATTTAAATTATAATGAGAGATTTTAATTCGCTAGCAAATGTTTATGTTGATATCCGCTAATGGTGTGTTACTCACTGGATTACGACAATACACCAGACAGAGTTTATGAAGATTTATGGACGACCATCTTCGCATTCGCTCGCGGCGCAAAATGGCGTATTGAAATAGGTGAAAATAAAATTATAATCTACCTATTCCTCTCTAATCATTCCCGACAGTTTTACTAAATCACGGCCTGATAAAAACTATTACGCATTGCGGTTCACAAAGAGACAGCTTGGCGTTAATATTTTTATAGTAGATTGGCCGAATATATCAGGAAGAGGCGAAGACTTTTATACTGTCTTCAGGTCACTTTTTCGATATAGTGTAAATGATTTAGAATGTTCTCAGTAGAAATTCTTGACGGTACGTGCAGATTTCGTTGTTTGTTCAAAAACGTGACGAAATTATCGCCTATCCATCAAATATTCACTAGTGAGAAATCAAAAAATTATAATATAACAATTATGGAATAAGTAAAAGGTCATGTAACTTTTAGTAATAGTTGATGTAAGATAATATGTTGTAATAAGAAAGCTTCTATAGTCTCGTTTTCACAATGTGTCGTATAAGAAATAACAAAATAACATTTAGCTATTACATTTAGCAGTTGTTCTTCCGCGTGCTACATCACACTTCATCCATATTGTCCAAATAGCCTCGCATCGAAATCCGGTCGCATATACCTGATACGTGCTATCACTTCTGGACTCGCGTATCGTCCATTTCTTCTGGGATGCACTAAACGCCAGTAACCCATATTTACGAAGCATTTTGAATAACGTTGATGCAGTAAACATGACGTCCAAGCTATACTTCCGGCGTAAATTTCTTCATAATAGACCATATGCAAACCTCTATACCGAAGATGTCCGAAATAATTTAATACGAAACTTGCCTAGTTGTTGGACTAGCAACAAAGCACTAAGCCTGAAAGGAGTCTGTATTTCGAATGTCATCTGCTGACTCTTTTACTGCAAAGCTATTGATAAAGGCCTTAATGGAGTGGTAATTATGACAAGCTGAAAATCATACTTGTGGGATCATCCTGCAAACGGCCTTTAAGAGCAGGCTCGTGCCCCTTTGCTAAACATAAAGGATGAACATATATTATAAGACTATATAATAAGATATATTAATTGAATAAATTAAGAGGGTACTAGCTAGCGTAGCACATTATTAACAGCAAAAAATTGCTAGCCGATCGCTTCTTGTTTACTAGGAAACGATTACATGCATTGAATTTGTTACTGGTTAATGCTATGTAATATTTGTTTTCATATTATCATTATTACAGTTACAGATAAAAAAAAAAACTGTTAGAATCCAGCCCGCTAAATATGGCCTGCCGTTTCGAAGATATGCTAAAATGTTAATACCGCAATGTACCAATGTGATTAGAAACTATTGACTTTTTCATACTTACAAACGATTGTTACAGGCGTTACAATATATATTATTTTTATTAGTAGTGCGTATCTTGTCTGTCGATTATGATAATTTCACGATATA